TTATGTATATACTTTTATAATAAAATAATAATTTTAATGACAAATTTAATTTTAATAGTCTTACAATTTTTCTATAACAATTCATTGTTATTCTAATTTATTTACAATTATTGAAAGTTAAAATAATAAGACAAGGATATCCGTTTTTGTGATTATATTTAACAGTTTATACTTTGTAATAAAAATACTTATTTAATAAATAATTATTGATTAATTATATAAAGATGTATGTTTTTGAAATAAATGTTAAATTTTATATGATTTAATACTTAAAATGAATATAACATTTTTACAAAATAATAAAAAAGTTTTGTTGATTTAATAATATGTAAAAACAACAATGTTTAATAAATTTATATTACATTAAACTTTTATAAATATAAACAAATAACAAATTTTGGATTTGATTTTAATAATTTTCCGTTTTAAATAAAATATCATCAAATAAAACAAAACAAAATGTAAAAAATAATAAAATTTTAAAAAATTATTTATATAATAGGTATATTTTTGAATAAAATTTAGATAATATTAAAACATTTTTGAATTTGAAAGTATTATTTTCAAATTTATTATATCTGTATACAATAAATATAGTTATATCATAAACCACTCTCACACCGTCTCACACACTCTCACACATTCTCACATGTTATTATTTGAATTGTTTTATATTTCAAAATAATTTTATATTTTTATTAAATAATTTATTCAATTATATTTTTTTTCAAATTAATTGTTTTTAGTTATTTTATTTTATTTTATCAATATTGCAAATTATTTATTTGTTTTATTTTTTATCATTGTTGTTGATATGTTTTTATCTTAATACATTTTCAACGGGAAGCCGGTCACATTTTTCATATTGATAAAATCATTAATCTTGTCCTTTTGTAACTTTTTAATCGAGAGAAATAATACGTTTCAAAGTGTCTTTTGATGAAACATCAATATTGAAGAGCCAAACTTGCACTTTCATTTAGTTTCCTCGTTGTATAGATTATTGTAGTTGAACCAAAAATCCGTTGTAAGAAAATCATTTTTTTTCCTTTAGTAAATATTTTGTTCAAGAGGTAAATATACCTTCAAATTTGTTTTGTTAACTGTACATTTCTTTTTTTTGATTGATTATTCAAATTTTCATTTCCGAACAAAAAGTGCGTTTATCATTCAACGACTCAAGACGAAATTAGTTACAGTTACTTCAAGTAACACTTCTCAACTGAGCAAATTTAATCGTTTTCATATAACAGGAAAGTCCAATATGTTTTAAATACATTTTTCAAGTTGTTTATGTATTGTATTCATTAACGCCAAGATACTCGTGTTTGTCTTATTATATTCAATTAGTTGACATTCAACTTGA